TCAACGGGGAAGTCAGATTCACTTAACGACCAGGTTACCAACTTAACAACTGCAGTGATTCACTTAACAACTGTGATAAGAAAGGTCATGAAATGGAGCAAAACCCGCTTAACAAATGTCTCACTTAACAATAGAAATTTTGGGCTCAATTGTGGTTGTAAATGGAAGACTATCTGTACATTTTTCTAGCGCCTAAGCATCTTTCTTCTATCGTGGTGTAATTATCATTCTTGCTTCCTGATAATTTATCCACAAGGTAAATCCCAAACATAAATCATTTGTCCATAAGCTGGCCTGCCCTCTACTTATAAAGGCTAACCTTGACTCAGAGTTATTGATGAAACGGTTTACCAAAAGTCTTTTCTAAATACCCAACAAAAAAAGTCTGAAAGATCATCCAATCCGCCTGATTGCTGGTTCCCTCAAATACCTTTGAAATAATTGTCTTTGAAAAGCCACGTTGTTTCTCCTTCAGCAAGACTGATCCTTCATCGTGTCTCAGATTTCTTTTTTCTGACCTAATTCTTTTCCTCAATTTACTCAGGATTTATTTTTTCTACAAAAGCCGTGTTATATGGGCTATTTTCTACTCCTCGGATAGGAATAAGGACTCACATTGACATATTTGCTTGTGAGATCCTGGATGCTTTCTGAACATGGTGATTTAATAATAATAATAATAATAATAATAATAATAATAATAATAATAATAATAATATCAATGGTGAGAGACTGGGAGAGGTTAATATCAAGAGAGGAATATTTCAAGGAGATTCATTGTCACCATTACTATTTGTTATTGCACTGTTTCCTCTGTCAACAATACTGAATAACTCAGGACATGGCTATCAAAGATCAAAAACATCTGCCAGACTATCCCACCTCCTTTATATGGATGATCTGAAGCTGTATGGAAAAACATCATCTGAAATAGAATCGCTGCTCAACACTGTCCGTATATATAGCCAAGATATTGTTATGGAGTTTGGCTTGGACAAATGTGCCACACTTACTATCAAACAAGGAAAAATAGTGAAAACTGAAGGAATCAAGATGCCCCACGAAAATAACATTAAGAGTCTGGATGAGGAAGAGTACTACAAATACTTGGGTATCCTTCAAGCTGACAACATCAAGCACACTGAAGTCAAGAAAAAGATTAGAGGTGAATACATCAAGAGAGTGAAGAAGATCTTAAAATCCAAACTCAATGGAGGAAATACCATAAAGGCAATCAACACCTGGGCAATCCCAGTCATTAGGTACACAGCTGGAATAGTGGACTGGACTCAAGCAGAACTAAAAGCAATGGATAGGCAGACCAGAAAAATAATGACAATGAATCATGCCCTTCATCCACGCAGTGACATTGATAGACTTTATCTACCAAGGCAAATAGGTGGGCGTGGAATGCTACAAGTACATCAGATGGTTGAAGAAGAAAAAATGGCTTTGGAAGAATATCTGAAGAACAATGATGAAGATGCACTGAAATTAGTATATCAGGAAGGCTTACTGACTACTGGAGAGACCAAACTGGCCTACAAGAAAGACCAAATGAAGAACAGAATAGAGGCATGGGAAGACAAAGCACTACATGGCCAATACATGAAAAAAATAGCTGGGAAAGCAGATAATAATAAAACCTGGCAATGGCTAAGAGCAGGAAAATTGAAGAAAGAGACCGAGGGACTAATTCTGGCTGCACAAGACCAAGCCTTAAGGACAAATGCATACAAAGTCAAAATTGAGAAGACAGCAACAGACAGTAAGTGCCGCCTATGCAAAGAAGCTGAAGAAACAGTGGACCACTTGGTAAGCTGTTGCAAGAAGATTGCACAGACTGACTACAAGCAGCGGCATGACAAAGTAGCAACAATGGTGCATTGGAAGATCTGCAAAAAATATCATTTGCATGTAAGCAAAAACTGATGGGATCATAAAATAGAGAAAGTCATAGAAAATGGTAAAATTAAACTGCTCTGGGACTTCAGAATTCAAACAGACAAGCACCTGCAACGTAACACCCCAAACTTAACAACTGTCGATAAGAAAGACAAAAAAGTCTGGATAGTAGACGTGGCAGTGCCTGGAGACAGCAGAATAGACGAGGAAGAACTGGAGAAGATAACAAAATACAAAGACCTACAAATAGAAATAGAATGACTGTGGCAAAAGCAAGCAAGGGTAGTACCAATAGTAATAGGCTCCTTGGGTGCAATCCCAAAACAACTGGAGCACCACTTGAACACCACTGGCATTGACAAATTTGCTATTAGTCAATTGCAAAAGGCGGCCTTACTAGGAACTGCTTCCATCCTGCAACGATACCTGTAATATCATCAAACATCTACATCTGCCTATTCCAGGTCCTGGGTAAGGGCTCGATAGGTAGACAAAATGCCAAATCCAGTCTGAACATCTGGCTGACTGTGTGATGATCCATAATAATAAAGTTGGACTGGATCTTGGAAGTCATCTAGTCCAACCCCCTGCTCAGGCAGGAAACCCTATACCATTTCAGACAAATGGCTGTCCAGTCTCTTCTTAAAAACTTCCAGTGTTGGAGCATTCACCATTCTGGAGGCAGGTTGTTCCACTGGTTAATTGCTCTCACTGTCAGGAAGTTTCTCCTTAGTTCTAGGTTGCTTCTCTCCTTGATTAGTTTCCATCCATTGCTTCTTATCCTGCCTTCAGGCGCCTTGGAAAATAGCTTGACACCCTCTTCTTTGTGGCAGCCCCTGAGATACTGGAAGGCTGCTATCATGTCCCCCCTTGTCCTTCTCTTCATTAAACTAGACCTACCCAATTCCAGCAGCCTTTACTTATATCCTTTAGCTTCCAGTCCCCTGATCATCTTTGTTGCTCTTCTCTGCACTCTTTCTAGAGTCTCAGCATCTTTTTTACATCGCGGTGACCAAAACTGGATGTAGTATTTCCAAGTATGGCCTTACCAAGGCCTTGTAAAGTGCTATTAATACTTCAGGTGATCTCGATTCTATCTCTCTGTTAATGCAGCCTAGCACTGTGTTGGCTCTTTTGGCAGTTGCAGCACACGGCTGGCTCACATTTAAGTGATTGTCCACTAGGACTCCGAGGTCCCTCTCACAGTTACTACTATTGAGCAAGGTACCCCTTATACTATACCTTCTTCTTGCAGAAGTTTTGTTCCTCAACTAGGGAACATCTGTGCTGGAAAAGATTGGGAATTACAGAGAGGAGGAGGAGGAGGAGGAGGAGGATCAAGAATGGTTGCAGGAATTGGGTATGTCTAGTTTAAGAAAAAGGACATGCGGGGACATGATAGCAGTGTTCCAATATTTGAGCAGCTGCCACAAAGAAGAGGGAGTCAACCTATCCTCCAAAGCAACTGAAGGCAGGACAAGAAGCAACGATGGAAACTAACCAAGGAGAGAAACAACCTAGAACAAAGGAGTAATTTCCTGACAGTGAGAACAATTAGTCGGTGGAACAACTTGCCTCCAGAAGTTGTGGGTGCTTCATCACTGGAGGCTTTCAAAAAAGAGATTGGACAATCATTTGCCTGAAACGTTATAAGGTTTCCTGCTTGAGCAGGGGGTTGGACTAGAAGACCACCAAGGTCCCTTCCAGCTCTGTTATTCTGCTATTCTCTCTCAGATTCTCTTAGTCACTGGCTGTTTTTCATTCTTGGCTTCTGGCTGGCACCAGGTTTCCTGCTGGATCATCTCTTCTGTAGAAATCTCCCTCTTCCCATCCGCTGCCTTTGGCAGTGTTCCTCGGTTTCTTAGATCTGAGCGTAGTTGTCACATCCTGACTCTATGGTACGCGCTGTGACTTGGTGGAATCCGAACGTGTCCCGGAAAAGCACTTTCTCATTTGACTTTTCCATTCGGCCTGCCTTATAACCAATTCTTTTGTGTCAAAGACATTTCCTGTTTCTCGGTGGTAGTGACTGCTCTGTGGAATAGCATCTGCCTGGAGCACTGTTTCTCAACCTTGGCAGCTTTAAGAGGGGTGGACTTCAACTCCCAGAATTCCCCAGCCAGCCAAGCTTAGAAAGTACCAAGGTTGTCGTCTCCTCCTCCTCCTCCTCCTCCTCCTCCTCCTCCTCCTTTTCCTCCTCCTCCCCACACCCTTCTAGCACTGATGATGTTACCTAGCTGGGTAATGAAATGTCTGCAAGAAAATAACCCATCTCAGAGAGTACCAAGGAGCCCACAATGGTGGTCCTGGTCCTGGTCCTGGTCCTCCTCCTCCCTGCAAATTCCATTCCCTCCTAGCACTGATGATGTTACCTAGTTGGGTCATGAAATGTCGGCAAGAAAACAACCAAGCTCAGAGAGTACCAAAGAGCCCACAATGGTGATCCTCCTTCTCCTCCTCCTCCTCCCCACACCCTTCTAACACTGATGATGTTATCTAGTTGGGTAATGAAATGTCTGCAAGAAATCAACCAAGCTTAAAGAGTACTAACATTGTTGTCGTCTCCTCCTCTTCCTCCTCCTCCTCCTCCTCCTCCTCCTCCTCCTACTACTACTACTACTACTACTACCCACATCCTTCTAGCACTGATGTTATCTAGTTGGGTAATGAAACGTCTGCAAGAAATCAACCAAGCTTAAAGAGTACTAACATTGTTGTTGTCTCCTCCTCTTCCTCCTCCTCCTCCTCCTCCTCCTCCTCCTCCTACTACTACTACTACTACTACTACCCACATCCTTCTAGCACTGATGATGTTATCTAGTTGGGTAATGAAACGTCTGCAAGAAATCAACCAAGCTTAAAGAGTACTAACATTGTTGTTGTCTCCTCCTCCTCCTTCTTTGCACAAACCCCACTCCCTTTTAGCACTGATGATGTTATCTAGTTGGGAAATGAAACGTCTGCAAGAAAATAACCAAGCTTAAAGAGTATCCAAAAGTTTGCCACTCTGATCTACGGCATACATACACAGACTTGGCCTTTCCAAAATGCAGAATAAGTATCGCTGAGCCTGACTTGCTTAGGACTAGACCTACCAGATGAACTGACTCTCATGCCCTGTCTGCGACCCTCATCCGAATCTTTGAAGATCAGGTTGCCACAAAGAGAGAAGTGCACTGCCATCTGCTCCACCACTGAGGTTTGCTTGTAGGCTCTTTCCTTTGGAGAAAGGAAAAGAGAAGAACGGTTTCACTCCAGCTCTTGTTTAACCTTCCCAACCACCAGCTGCTTTGGCTAAACAGACACGGGAAGAGACTTCCAGACAGATCTCTCCAAACAGCGGTTATAGAGTTGTCCTGTGCCTGGTCGCTTAACTTGTATTTTTTGTATATTTCCCAAAATTCCTCCCTTGCAGAAAGAAGAGATTGCATGGCCAAGCTATCTCTTCCTAAACTGCTTTTCCTTACATGCATGTTGTTCTTCCCTGCAAGCTAGCTCATCGTTGCAACCTTGATTAGTTAATTAGCACCCGGGACTATCTGAAACTGGCGTGATCCTAATCAATTTGATCCCAAAGCCTTCTTTTTTTATCCTAAGTCGCTGGGAACAGAAGCCAAGACGTTTCTTTCAATGTGAATTCTCCACTGTGTGCTTGGTTACTCTCTTGTAATCCCTTTCTCTCCAATGAATGTAAATACAAATATTGATTTCCCTTTTTTAGTTATCCTAGAACCAAAGTGAGGAGTCTAAAGGGTGGAAAAGTGAGCAAAAGGGGTATAAGATTTGTGCTTTTTTTCCCCCAGCTTCCTTGTGAGTCAAGTTTCAGAAAATGAACTTTCCCCTTTGTCAGGGCTCACCTGACTGATTGAGACCATGTCCGCCTGATGTTATAAGGATTTAGAGGCAATTTCTTAATAAAATTTTTGTAAGCTTTATTAGAGTTCTAGCAACTCTCTTGGTGTTCTCCTTCTCTGGTAGCCAAAGAATTCTTGCAAATTCTAAATTAAGCATCAACAGGCAGATGAACGGAAACAAGAGTCCCGTTTCTCATTGAATGAGAAAAATGCTATTACTTGGGTTTTAAGGTGTGTGTGTGTGTGTGTGTGTGTGTGTGTGTGTCTAGGACACCTCGTCACTGCCAGGCTGCTGCTGCTGCTGGCTCATTGCCACTGTCTCGCCAAGGGACAACCACACACACACTCTGCCTCTTCCCCCATTGCTAATGAGAAAGGGTCAGAGATCAGTTGTGGAGGAGGAGGAGAAGGAGGACAACAACTGTGGGGTTTTTGATGCTCTGTGATATTGCAGATGTTTCATGACCCAACTGGGTAACATCATCAGCACTAGAAGGGAGTGAGGGTTGCTGTTATTCTATTATTGCCCTATCAATATTGGTGGGAGTGTGGATTTTTTTCTTGCTGATTTCTTGATTAGGGTATTGTTTTCTGGCTGATAGTTTGTCTAGAGTTAATCCCTGCTTATCTGCCCAGGGCAAGGCATCCCCGGGGCAAATCACTCTGGGCGAGTCACTCAGGGCAATCTGGCGTTGGCAAGCCGGCAGTGACAATCCAGCTGCAGCAAGTCGGCTAGGACGAGTAGGCAGGGGCAACCCAGTGGTGGAGATCTGGGGGTGGCAAACCGGTGGCGGTGAGCAGGTCATGGCGACCCAGCAACAGTGAGTTGACCCATTCCAATTCTTTTGCCGTCTTCGCTTCCCAGGAAGGACAGAAAATTATTCAAATAATTTCTGTCCAAATCCCACACACAGGTTGGAACATCAGTGGCACAAGCTAGACATACGCAGAGTTCTGTGTTACTATGTAAATAACTTCTTCCTTCCGTAAGTCGGAAGCCCTATTTGTCTCTTTCCAACCATCGACTATGGGGAAGAAAGTTTCCTCTTCAACTATAGGTAGGTGGATTAGAGCTTGTATCGCTCAAGCCTGTTCCTCTCAGTCAATTCCCGTTCCCTCACAAGTTACGGCTCACTCAACACGCAGCGCTGCTGCAGCGGCCGCGTGGTCTACACAGGCCTCAGTAGAGGAAATTTGTAGAGCCGCAACTTGGTCTTCTCCCTCGGTTTTTATTAGACATTACCGCATAGATTCCTTCGCGGCGGCTGATGCTGCCTTTGGCAGACGTGTACTCCAACAGGTTGTCTCTGCTCAGGATACCCTTCCTTCTGCAAGAATGGTCAGGGGCCAGAAATAGTGGTGATTTTCAAAGCATGCCCTTTGAAAGATTTTCCCCAGAAACAAAAACCCATCATGTAGAAAAGACAGTCTCTACATAGTCTCATTTTACATTAATTGGTTCGGGCCTGCCCTACTTGAGAGAATCAGTGATCCACGTTGCAAACTGGAGGTCAGCAGAGGGAGAAACACTTACTTTAAAACTGTATCTGACAATATTCTGTGGAGCATGTGGGTTGTTGGCTGTCAGGATGCGGGTTATTTCCTCTTTCAGTTCCTGCCGCAGAAAAGAGCTATCTCACACAGAATTCCACACAATGAGTAACGATGCATAAACAGAACACATTAAAGAAATGCACAGGGCGTTGTTTTTTTTTATACTGAGCTTTGGTGGGAATTACAGATTTTTCGAAATGAGGTATTTTAAATGTTAAAAACAGTTGCCCTGAGTTTCTGTATTTGCTGAAAATCTGAACTGTAAGTCAATACAGGTAGTCCTCGACTCCCGGCCATAAGAGAGCTGACAGTTTTGAACACACTTTGTGGACCTTCCTGTCCACTCCATTTGAATTAATGCAATGGTACTTCGGTACTCAACCTTGATTGGTTCTGGGAAGTGCGAAGAGCATCAAAAACGATGAATGCCAAACAAATGTTTCCCATAAGGAGTAATATAATGAGTCACAAGGCAGCCAACGCTGACAAGTTCAGAATCAGAGACCCTATGCCAGGGGTCTTCAAACTTGGCCCTTTTATGACTTGTGGACTTCAACTCCCAGAATTTCTCAGCCAGCATGCCTGGCTGAGGAATTCTGGGAGTTGAAGTCCACAAGTCGTAAAAGGGCCAAGTTTGAAGACCCCTGCCCTATGCCATTTCAGACAAATGGCTGTCCAGTCTCTTCCCCTCACCCTTCTTCGTTGTGTTGGCGCTCAGTCCCTAACCCGAATTTACTTACTGCATCTGTCAGGTCCAGCTGGTCTGGGGGCTTGATTAAGGTCTTGGCCTGGGACCATTCGTCAGCGCCCTCGCCCACTTCGACACCCGCCTCCTCATCCTAGAACAAGAACCAGACAGTCGGTTAGCAGCAGACACAGAGGATCATCAATGCACCAGGAAGCCCATGAGTGTCTTCGACCATTCCAATCTGCTTCTGGATTGACTGCCTGGAAATAGACTGAACTTCTTTGGGATTTTTTTGTATTTTGAGGAGTCCTTGGCGCTCTCTGAGCTTGGCTGTTTTCTTGCAGATGGTCCGTGGCCCCAAATAGATAGCATCATTGTCACTAGACTGATGATGTTACCCAGCTATACAAATTATCTCTCCCCCTCCTCCTCCTCCTCTTCCTCCTCCTCCTCCTCCTCTTCCTCCTCCTCCTCCTTTCTGCAAACCCCAGTGCCTTCTAGCACTGATGATGTTACCTAGTTGGGTCACAAAATGTCTGCAAGAAAACAACTAAGCTCAGAGGGCACTGAGAACCCCTAATCTATACAAATTATCTCTCCTCCTCCTCCTCCTCCTCCTCCTCCTCTTCCTCCTCCTCCTTTCTGCAAACCCCAGTGCCTTCCAGCACTGATGATGTTACCTAGTTGGGTCACAAAATGTCTGCAAGAAAACAACTAAGCTCAGAGGGCACTGAGAACCCCTAATCTATACAAATTATCTGTCCTCCTCCTCCTCCTCCTCCTCCCTTCTAGCTCTGCTGATGTTATCTAATTGGCTGATGAAAACAACCAAGCTCAGAGAGCACCAAGGACCCTGAGCGATAAAAATTCTCCTTTTTTGTATTTTTGCCATACAAAAATACTGCTTAGCAAAGAAGACCATTGCAACTACCCTCTGTTCCAACCACACCTGGACACCATCAGCATCCTGAATCATTCAGGTGGTCAGCTCTCCATACATTCTGCCTTTTAAATCTGTTTTTGAGGAAGCATTTCATACCCAGCTTGAATTACAGAAATTTCATGAGAAGGGAAAGCCGTGTCCCTGACAGCCAAGGCAAGAAGGCATGCTCTGTGGCAGTGTGGCGTAGATGTTCAAACACAATAATTGATTGATATCCACAATTAAGGTGACATTCATAAAAAAGAATAGATGCATCTTAGGGGTGAACCGTGGAGTTCAACTTTTGAAGTCTATAAAGACAATGTTAGACGATTAAAAAAAAATAGATTACATTCTTGAGTCATCTTGTGGTAATTTTGTTGTTGTTGTTGTTTTTCTGCGCCTTCAAATCTACAGGTGACTGCAAAGATACGTTCCGGCCATTTTCATGACAAGGTTTCTGAGAAGTGATTTGCCATTGCCTCCTTCTTAGAACTGAGAGTGATGACCTGGCTCAAAGTCAACCAGCTGTAAGTAAGGTGACCAACTTTTTTACAATGAAAAGGAGGACACAAATAAACTGAAGAAAAAAATACCGTAAATAAAAGAAATATTTTATTCATTGCAACAATAATACAGACAACTTGCATGTGCAAAGTTTGCCAGCCGGGTGTTTTGGCACACTCAGCAGCAATTCCTATTGGCCTTCGAAAGTCGATAGTGGGAGTAGCACAGCTCATGCAAAAGTTGAAAAAAAAACCATCAAAAAAAGGTGCTGGAACACCGTTCTGAGCGTTCTATGAGGGAAAAAAAAGCCCTTCAGATTAGTCTTCAAATATTGAAAAGGAGGACATGTAGGAGGACACTTTTTGAGAGAGAACTTACAAAAGGAGGACTGTCCTCCCTAAAGGAGAACGGTTGGTCACCTTACTATAAGGCCTATATCATGACAAGAATTCACTGTCTCCTGGTGATTGGCCAAAGTCACCCAGCCAGCTTTCATGCCTAAGGTAGGCTAGAATTCACCGTCTCCTGGTGATTGGCCCAAAGTCACCCAGCCAGCTTTCATGCCTAAGGTAGGCTAGAATTCACCGTCTCCTGGTGATTGGCCCAAAGTCACCCAGCCAGCTTTCATGCCTAAGGTAGGCTAGAATTCACTGTCTCCTGGTGATTGGCCAAAGTCACCCAGCCAGCTTTCATGCCTAAGGTAGGCTAGAATTCACCGTCTCCTGGTGATTGGCCAAAGTCATCCAGCCAGCTTTCATGCCTAAGGTAGGCTAGAATTCACCGTCTCCTGGTGATTGGCCCAAAGTCACCCAGCCAGCTTTCATGCCTAAGGTAGGCTAGAATTCACTGTCTCCTGGTGATTGGCCAAAGTCACCCAGCCAGCTTTCATGCCTAAGGTAGGCTAGAATTCACCGTCTCCTGGTGATTGGCCAAAGTCATCCAGCCAGCTTTCATGCCTAAGATAGGCTAGAATTCACCGTCTCCTGGTGATTGGCCCAAAGTCACCCAGCCAGCTTTCATGCCTAAGGTAGGCTAGAATTCACCGTCTCCTGGTGATTGGCCTAAAGTCACCCAGCCAGCTTTCATGCCTAAGGTAGGCTAGAATTCACCGTCTCCTGGTGATTGGCCCAAAGTCACCCAGCTGACTTTCATGCCCACACAGCAGGACTAGAATTCACCATCGCCTGGTGACTGGACAAAGTCACCTAATCAGTTTTCATGCTTAAGGCAGGACTAGAATTCACTGTCTCCTGGTTTCTAGCCTAGTGCCTTCACCATTGCACCAAACAGACCAGTTGCCTTCTGTTACCATTATTTGAAACGTTAAAGAAAACAGCACAAAAGACGTGGCCAGAAACATTTCAGAGAAAAGGCCAACAATCTGGGAGATAAACAGTGGCCACCATCTGAATCCCAGAAAACAGCAAGTCAAGTTATCTAAGCCACAACCATTCCTTTGGAATTTTATTTTTTTTAAAAAATGTGTACATTTATTTTATTTACTCAATTTATTTCCGGCATATTTTCGCTTCGTTCAATCATCCTGATTTTGAAGAATGACATTTTGCATTCCCCTGATTGCATTCTCTTCCCTTCCTAAATTAATCATAATTCTGGGGCCTTCTCAAAGGCTGCACGACATATTTCAAAATGTCACTCTTGGCGACTTCCGGTGGTCAAAGCGGTGGAGATGGCGGCTACTTTGTAGCCGTCCTCCTGAGAAGGTGTCAGATCCGCGGAGCACAGCGTTTATCAGCTGGCCCGCGGCTCGCAATCCCCTTCCCGGGCGAAGGGAAGGGGTAGAGATCGCATGAATAGAGGTAGAACCTCTTAACTCTCCCTGGATTTTTATTTTTAGGGGGGTAGAAAGAGGGTTCCCTCGGAGTTCATTGCCTTCTCCGCCTCTCAGCTGTCTTTGTTTCTTCGGAAACAAAGCGAGACGCCGCTACCATCTCCGTACTTAAAGAAACCGTGAGTAATCTTAAACCGGACAGAACTGTTTAAAGGATTTTATTTATAGTTTAGCTTTATTTTATTTTTTTTAGTTTATTTAGTTTATTTAGTATCTGCTGATTTTTTTTTTATTTTTTTGAGCTTTCTCTTTTTTTTTTGGGCGGAAAAGTGAGAGTGAAAGTAAAATGGCGTTTTGAAAGTTTTTTTTTCCTTTAAAAGACGGATCGGCTGAATTGTTGTTTAATATTGCTTTTTTTTTACTTTTTTTACTTTTTTATTCTTGGGGACTTTTAGATTGATCTTATCTTATTCTATTTTATCTTATTTTTAATTTTTTTTTGGATTATTTATTTTTATTGGTATTTTTAAGAAGAAAGGAAGATAAATTAAAATGGCTTCAAAACGACAACCAGCTACTGCAGCTTCTAAAGTAACTTCTTCTCCTGCTACTTCTACTGTGCAACAACAACTTAAAATAATACCCTCAGTGCAGCAACCTAAATCTACTCCACCTTCACCTCCCCCATCTGGCACATCAGCACAAGACATTAAAGAAATAATGGTAAGTGCTGTCTCACAGTTTAGGGAGGAAATGAAACAACTTTTGGATCAGAATAAATCTGAAACTAAGGAGGAAATGAAGAAAGAGATGAAGGAGCTTTTAGAACAGAATAATGCTATTTTGAGGGATGATATACTTTTAGCTCTATCTGGAATGGCCTCAGTGGTTGTGAAGCTGGACTCCAGAGTAGAGGAAATTGAAGAAACAGTTGAACTTTTGGATTATAAATTTCAAGATATGGAGAAAAAAGTGGAGACTTCACAAGATGATATTCTTATGTTCCAGTATAGACAGATGGAATATGCTTTGAGAATAAGGGGTCTGAAAGAAGATAAAACTCAAGATTTGATGGAAATGGTGATTAATGACTTGGCTGTTATTTTGAATATTGATAAAGAAGAGTTACGTGGGGATGTGGAAAGAATTTATAGAGTTAATTCTTGGATTGCAAAACAGAGGAATTTGCCTAGAGATGTGGTGATATATTTTGCTAAGAAGTCTTTGCGAAATCAGATTCTACAAACTTTTTATAATAAAAGATTTCAGATTGCTGCCCAAGATATTATTATTTTAAAGGAAATTCCACCTAAAATTTTAAGAAGCAGAAAAGATTTTGCTTTTTTAGTAAATGAACTTAAAGCAAGACAAATGCCATTTAGATGGGAGATTCCGATGGGCATTGTTTTGAGCCATGCGGGGACACGTTATAGACTTAATACAGTTGCTAAAGCTAAGGAATTTTATAAAACGGTCCTGGGAGCAGGCTCTCCTTTGCCCATGATGCATAAAGTCTTGAGTGACAAAGAGATGGAACAGAAATCTGAAGGTACAGGGATGATGACTGCTGGACAGGTGGTATGGATGTCTCAACCAGAGGTTAAAGAACAGAGAATGACCCGTGCAGCACATAAACGTAAAGAAAAAGAACAACAGAAAAAAGAAAAAGAAAAAGAAATTGAAGAATCTACTCAGCAAATTGCTTCAGTGCCGGTGGGAGGAGCAAGACCCAAAAGCTCTGCTACATATTCATCAGCAGCAGAATTTGAGCGGATCTTCTCCAGGCTGAAGGCCAAGGGAGATGGCAAAGCTCCTGTCCTGGAATGTTAATGGATTAAACATTCCTCAAAAGAGAAAAAAAATTTACCACTATTTGAAACAACATAACAATGATATTATTTGCTTGCAAGAAACTCATATTACAGCTAAA